AACGCAGTTATTTGATTTCGACAATTTTCATTTGAAAAAAGTTATGCAAAACATAATCTCAGCTCACACGGGCTCAGTTGTACCGCAGGAAAAACGAATAGCTTGTGGTTGGGTCGTGGAAATTCTCTGGCGTTCTACCCGACCCGCTGAAATCGTAGGGAATGGTTCATCTCACAAAGAATGCAACCAATTTCCCTGCCGTGTTTCATGCTCGTTCCTCAGAGAGACCATGGAAAGCCTGACGAGAGGTCAGGTTGAACACCCGATCAAATCCCAGAAATTGCTTGTTTCAGTCTTCGCGTCCAATAATCAACCGCAGGTGCAATGGTCTGATTAAAGCTGATTGTATGGGCTTAACTGCTAGAAAAGAGATCAGCACTATTCAAGGAATTTTATTTCTCTATATGCCCTAAATTACAGATAGGTAACCATTTGTGAGGTACTAAGAAACCTGTATTTGATTGAGATGTTCACCGGTATCAGTGAGCATCATCACTGTATGTGAAAACGGGTTTTCCCCTTCAACTTAAAAAGTTTTATGCGTTTATACAACGTTTTAGTGTTGAAATTTGCAATACGTTTCTCCGAATCTCTTCATGTACGTATTCATCGTCTCCCTAATCTTTTTCAGACTTCAAAACCGATGCATACGCAAGAGAATTGTCGGCCTACATCTTAGGGTTGTCTCCTTCAGAGAGAGGCATGTAAGTATTCATGTACTCGGGAGTCTCTATTTGATTGACGTATTCGTGTTCTCCCTCTTCTCTTTTCTCCAGTGGCGTATAGATATGAGAACAAGCGCCGGACACTTGCGTATATTCAGGAGTTTGGCCACTGTCGCTAGGCACCTATGGAAAACACAACATAGAAACATGTCTATAAGTTGTATTAACCGATATGCACTTCAATGTGCAATGTCAGTGTGGTCATACCGCAGACACACGCTCGCGTTCCAAGTACTACGGGTAAGCCCGTACACTTTAATGAAAATGCTGACAACACCCAACAAATAACGCAATATCTACTAAGTTAAAAGTTTTGTTAAAGACAAAAGATAATCGTAAACACATTACGAACACGCGTTATCAACCCTCCATCGCCACGTTCATAACACTTCCCCGAGAATTTACGAACACACCACCGACGCTTTACCAACAATTCATCAAAAGGTCATGAAACAGCCGATGATGGGCATCGTTCTTAGCGATTGAAACTTTGGCGCATAATGATTACTCAAAAGAATGAAAGTACCATCATTCCAGGTGAAAACGGGTCGATGTCGTCATATAATAAGGTGGATTCTTCGGTTTCCAGGCTGCGATGCTCATTACTTTCAGAAACCATCAACTGAGTGGTAACACCCACAGGGGCCAGGGTCAAATGCTCTTGAGGTTGGTCGCTAAAGGAAAAATGGCGATTAAAATCTCAGTGCAAACATGCACTCTATCTGTCTCCCCTACTTTGCCCTCCTGTACACAACAGGGCTTTAATTTGTGCAATGGTTTTAAGTTCTCTATACTTGCGAGGAACAATATGTCAATTATTATGAGAGGGTCTGGATGGGGGTTGTCAGCTGTCGACTAAAAGGTACATATGGTGTAAACTCGATAATAAAGTCGAAAACTGATACAATGAGA